GATAATCGTGGATCCAGACGATGTCCCCTTCCTGATACTCCTGTACGATACGATCCGCAAAGAGTCTGTTCATGCGGACGTAATCTCCCCACCACTTCCGTTCTGACCGGCCATCCGTGGGGCCGTGTTGCTTGTAATGAAGTAGGGGGTACAACTCCTTCTCCGCATAGCGCCTCCATCTCCCTTGGTCTTCCAGAAAGATCGAAGACTCCTCCGGCTCTTCGGACTCGTCCGACAGCCATACGGGAGCGATCTTGCCGTAACGGCCCGAGCTCAGCTGGGCGTCAAGACGCGCTCGGTCCTCTTGACTGACTCTGAAGCCTTCGAGAAGCGGGTGGCTGGGCGGTCGCTGTTTCGAGTCCACGGGCACGGGGGCCGCTGCTTTGTTCAGGGGAACGGCAACACCATTGAGCGCGGGCGGTAGCCTTGCGCCAGAGTTGACGGGGATGTGCTGGAGAGGAACGGAGACGTCTTGGATCGGTTCCACCTCGCCGGTCCAGCCAACGAGCGTATGGGACCATTTCGTCTCTCCTGAGCCGAGATAAGCAAAGGAATCAAAAAGGGCAGAAGTTCCGGGACGTGGTTTGAGATCCTGTTCAAAAATGGTTCATCTGAGCGTTAGTCCAATGCCGCCAAGTTGGGGAAAAGAGAAGCGAAAAAAGTCATGGGGGTCTCCATACCCAATCCGAGCCAGGACGGTAGCCGACCTTGTACGGGATGCAGAAGGCCGCGCTGATAATCCGCCCGGTGAGGTTCAACCCGGGATATTGCTCGCGGGGGTCGAAGTCCGGAATCATAGGGGAGCGGCCGAGACTCAAACGGCGGAGGAGTTCAATAGGGGACTTTGCGTTCTTCGCTGCATCAGCCGGCGAGCCAGGAGAAGCGGTATCGGAGGCGGACGACGACTGTTTGGTGCCAGGAACCTGAGAGAAGTACGAGGGGGTATCATTGATCAGGGGATGTTTCTTGTCAGTCTCCAGACTAGGGGTGACATTTGAGGCATTGGTATAGGCCTCTTCACCCAGAGACTTCATGCCGGGACCGACCATGACGGGGTGTGGCTGGCCGTCAGGCACTTTGGCGGGGGAGTCCTGGTTGGCGGCCATGACGAAAACGGCCGAAGATGGCGGAGGGGCAGATCCAATTGCTCAAGGCTCGCGGGAAATTAACAAAGTACAGAACTATTTCCGAAGAGAGTCAGAAAGAGTGAATACGATTATTGAAAAAGCAGGACGACAACTGAGAAGACAGAATTGGAGTACGAACCTCGGAGGATATCGAGAAATGGGGAAGTAGAAGGGAGTGAGAGGGTTGACAGGATAATAGATAACGATACCTCCGTAGTAGAAAGGTGGGGGGTGGGCGGACAGTGAAGCCGGTGAGGAAACGAAGACGGATAGGGATGTAGGTATGATTATGATTGTTCCTATGAGCTAAAAAAGAAAGCCATGAGAAATAGATAGCGTAGTCAAGAGTAGTTGAATTATTGGAAGTGGGAGAATCAATAAGAAGAAATCGAGGGAAAACGAGGAACCGTGGTGGAGGGGGGTTCAGTCTACCAGCACGAGTAGATGATAATGAAGATTTGGTTGGCAAAACCCGGTTTTTGATCGAGTGGAGAGAAAAAGATGAGCAACAGGAAAGCGGATATCTAGAAAAGAAACATGCTATTATATTATTTATACTATGAGTAAATTGGAGGACATGGACTAGAATAAGGGTTTGGCTGCTCCTTACCAAGTATCTAGACCTCCGACTATTTTTATGGCTACAAACTACGGAGTACCACCAACGACTATGGACTAAACTTTTGGGTATGAACGAGGGGCACCAGGATGGGCGGTGAACTTTTTAATATAAATCAGTCAGTCAATCAATGCAGACTAGTTAGTCCTGAGGGAGTAATTATTGATAATCAGCAGAAAGAATGATTACTAGTATCATTGCTCACTATCATGGTCTTGAGAAAGGGGGTATACAAGGACTCCGTAGAAGCATCCAAAAGGAGAAAAAGGGAGAAGCTGAGAGAAAAGGGGAGAGCTGGAGAGAATCAATCAATGGATCTAGTCCAGGCCGATAGGAGTATAGAGGATAATAGAGTGAGTAGCTAATAGACTAGTAGTAAGTATAAGAGAAGAAGACCCTGAATAGCTGCTAATAATAATCATAACATAACATAACATGTTCCATGACTTCAGTACATATCTGCAGGACTGCAAGTATGATGTGACAGATGAATATGACGACGATGAGCACCCGAGAACAGGCACATGGCTGGAATTTCTCCCCGCTACTGTCCCATCCGGTACGTCATGTTCCAGCCATGTCTTCTTCCCACCAAGGACAGAGGTACCGTACCTACTTAACTAAGATAGTGTATATGCATTGATTTCATAATGATTCACTGCAGGTCAGGTCGTTGTATGCAATGATCGTCCCGATCAATTATCTTCCGAACTCTGGACTTGTATGGAGTAGATTTTAGCTGCCTGTCATGTTGATCATGATCTTCATTCGTCTCTTTCATTTGATTCGATCATTGCACGTGGAGTGCCTCAAGGACAAAGTAGAGAGGTAGACACTTAGAGAAATCCTCCCGAGGGGGGGGAGAAGATAGTACAGGTACCTACAGTGACGAGAAGGGCTATGAGGCTCAAGCATGATTGGTCCATGGAAACTAAAAAAATAATCTATCATAGGTACGGACTGTTCATCACGTGACCACAAATCACATGATCTTATCAGTTTAAGTCAGGTGATCTTATCGTCCTCCAACAGATCTGAAGAAATTGGATCGGGGCACGCAGGAACCATTTCATCCTATCTCGTCTTCTCGAACCATTACAGGGCGTCTACATCTTATATCTTACCATCCAAAATTACAGACTGCCTCTGAGTACATGCTCAAAGTCACGGTTGCTGCCCCGCGATGTCTTGTATATCCCACTGATCGCGCAGCAATGCGCTTGGCCTCTGCTCTTCGTATCTCCCTTTCCAATCTTTTCTCAACAGCATCTTTCCGTCGTCAATTGCATGCTACCGGCGTCAGATCAATTGATCCTGTCATCTTTAGGAATAGCCTTGAAAAGACTCTTGAGGCTCATCGGTCCTCCAATCGAGCCAATCTGATCCGCAAGGTGATTGACGACAAATGTCCAGCTGGAATATCCCCTCCGGTTATACCACTTGAGCATCATGCTGGTCATGATGAGCCACTTCCAAAGGCCTCGTCTGTGTTAAGTGCAGAGTCACAGTCCCTCCAGCCTCTTGCGCCTGCGAGACGAGCGCAGAGGAAGGCCCGTTCGTCAAGCCAAGTGGCCGCTCCGCACCCCCAGACGGCAAAATATCCACAGCTGCAGTGGCATGCGGATGAAGCCACGGGTCGACCAGAGCAAACTCCTTGGTTGAAGTACTTGGCTAGCGATTGCAAGACATCCGATGCCATTTCGCGTCTCGACGCAGAGATCCGCGCTCTTGAGGTCTACATGACTCCGACCCCGTCGGAGCAGGGTGAGATAGATCGGCTGGTTGCAGACGTGGGTAGGTTGCTCGCGGGAATTGTCCCAAGCCAGCCCCAGGTGACCGGTTCATGGCGGACGCGATTCGCTCTGAGCCACTCCGATCTTGATTTCGTCTTACCCGTCCCGGATTCAGATCGATCCACCCGTGGCGTGCGCAAGCCCAGTGCCACCCGGCCCAAGGTGCTTCAGACTTACAAAAAGCTCTTACGTGACGTTGGACATGCGCTTCAGCAGTGCCCCTCGTTCGCGGGGAGAGTCCAGATCCTGGGCAACCGTTTCCCGGTCCTTTCAGCCATCCATCGCCCCACGGGCCGTCTGCTACAGTTCCACTGCGGCGAAGGGCTACCGGCCTCGGTCGAATATATCATGGACTACCAGGCCGAGTATCCCTCGACTCGGCCCCTCTACGTGACGGCTCGCCTGATCCTCGAGGCGCGGGGCAGGTATGGCCGCCCCCGGTTGTCTATTGGATCCGATGCCCTTGTAATGCTTCTCGTGGCCTTCCTCAAAATGAACCACGGGCGTTTCCAGCGGCCTGACTGTCTCGGCGAACAGCTCATCGCGTTTCTGCGGGCCTACGGCACCGATGTCGACCTGGCCACTACCGGTGTCTCCGTCGATCCACCCAGTTGGTTCAATGCCAGTACGGTCAAACGCGCCAGCGCCCTGTACGCACCCGACGATCTACCCGCGCATTTGCGCGGCCAGCGCTCCCTCATCAGCCTCAAGAGAACGGCGGCCGCCAGACGCAATCTGTCTGCCGCCAGCCGGTTGTGCGTGCAGGACCCCACCAACTACATGAACGATCTGGGCCGCAGCTGCGTGCGTACGTCGGAACTCCAGGACGCGTTCTCCCTTGCTCATGACCGTCTCGGCGCAAGTCTCAGACACTGGGATGATAGTGGACAGGCCGCGGATGCTAGTATCCTGACTCGAGCGCTGCAAGCAAATTTTCATGATTTTGAAAACCTACGCGCCAAATCGCTTTAAGCTCAATGCGAGCTAGCATTGAATTGTATCAGTCCCTTGGAACCTTGGAAATTCTCTCATCTCTTGCTGAAATATTGATACATTATATATGGGATAATTCCGAGTCCGCCAACATGCTTGTCACCTGGGCTCAGCCCTGGCCACTCCGTAGATGCCCTTGACTCAATAGAGAATCGCAATAATGAAATATCAGAAAATGCGCGAGTAAAACAGGTGGAATTGCTTTGTAAGAGAACGCCCGCTTTCTAGTCAAGGAGCTCTGAAGAGCCATACAATGTATCCAAACCGCTCTGTTCGAACGGGAATGTGAAAATAACTATGACAAAGCGGCAAGCCAGGCCACGGCAAAAGTAGTCTATGAATAAATTCAATAATCATGATCACGCCGGTGTATGAGAACTCCAGGTCAAGCAATGCCAGCAATCAACTTGTGTGGCACCATTGGAAAAGCGTTGCCAAAGCATATATATACGAGGCTATACGATTGACTCAATTGCTGTACCTCTGTCAGCAGCTATTTCGGTTTCTGACGGGATGCTGATGAGCGACTTACTATATTTCCAAGGGGGAAATCTGGTCAAGCGTGTAGAGCCAGTTTCCACCCTGCTCTTCCTTCTCAAGCCTACAACAGTCCATTAGTATATGGCTAAAAACCGACGAGGATTGGCCAGAATGTCACGAACCAGTCATAAGGCCACATTATGAGATGTCCCTGGACCTTATTCAATAACTCTTCTGCTTGTTGTTTGTCCATAACATCATCGGTCGCGTGGAATTCACGCTTCGAAAGTGTTGTTGCTCGTCTCCGACGGCGGCGGTTCTGGGTTGTGGCATTGCGATTCAGAGCCTCAGAATAATCGACAGCTTGCGGCTCCTGCTGCTCGACGGCTTCCTTGGTAGGGCCGCTGTCTTCACTGCGTCCACTCTGTGTAGGGCCCGCCCCTCTAACTTCGGCTACCTCCAAGGCAGTCTTCTCATCAATTGACGATAACGTTTCTTGCTTCGCAAGGTCGGACTGCATTCGATCAGCTGCATCGCGCCCACCTTCGGCTACACGAGCCTCTCTCTTCTCATCCGAGCCCTGATGACCCTTGTGTTCCGTCGCGTGGCCTTCGCTGCTCGACCCCGAGTGAGGAACAAGTGACCGTATACCAGCGCCAGCCGCGGTGGTATTGGTCCCGGGAGGTCCCGTAGGCTTTTGGTGGCTTGGCTGAGAAACCTTGACGCTGTGCTGACTCTGCATTTCCGAAAATCGCTCTCCGTATGCGGCGTACTCCTTGTATTCTTTCCACGACTTGACCTCGCTGTCAGGCATACAACGAAAGACGGCCCGATAGATTTTTGTGTTCTTCTCCGCCACGGCTTGCCAAGTGTCCAGGTAGAAGATGTCGATCACAGGGTCTCTCATGCAGTCCTTGTCAATGAAGATGTGCTTGAGATCTGGGATCAGTGGGTGTGGATACTTCGCCGCGTCGGTTATATCTGATGACGGCGACAGGACGCCATTGTCGTTCTCACTATTGGTTCCTGGCAGAGCCGGATGACGGGCAGCTGCTAATCCATCAATCACTGGTGTTGGATCGGCATCATGAGCCGTAGCCGAGGGTGATTCGCGGCTTGTCTCTCTAGCAATGGGACTGCCCGGTTGCGTCTTCCGCTTCGACGCCGGCTTGGGTTGTCGGATGGTACCTTTGCCCTCGCTAGCGACAGGCGAGACCAAAAACTCAGCGGTGTCTTCGAGCATTTGCGAATCGCGACCATCGGCCAGCCCGGCTTCTAGAGCGACATTTAGGTGATCTACACCAAGCCCATCAACGTCCTTCTTATGTTCCGCGTTGGAAGTCACCCTTGGATCAGCAGTGAGCTTTCTGTTCGACTTGAGGTTGGGATTGTTTTCTTGTTCCCAGTCTACATCGTGGTTGAAACTGCGCAAGTCTTCCGATCTGGAGAGAAACTCGTCTTGTATCCGATGCCGACGCTCGATCATATCCCTCTCATCCTGTCTCTCCATCATCAGGGACTCAGAGTCGGCCTTGTCAGCGTTCTCCGGTGATCTGGTGCCTTCTTCCGCAATCTGAATCTTTCGCAGTTCTTCTTCCGTTGCTATCGAGTGCTCCATTAGCTCGTCAACGTCGATGCCAAGATGCTCTCTCATCAACCGCATGCGCAGGGTATGCGGGAACCGTCCGACAAGATACGGGCGCCCATCCATGGAGGACCATATCATATCTGTATCACGCACGACAGCTGCTACCTCAGAGTCTCGCGAACCCAACATCGATCTCTCATTGATATTCGCAGACCCAATGATGGCGGCCCGATCATCAACAACCATGCACTTGGCATGGATGTAGAGCTGCTCAGTGACAAGTTGTTTTTGCGGTCCGATCTTGCCCCACGTCCGAAGACTGAAAAATTGAATGTAATCTTCCGGATCGATGCCCAGCGCTCGCAGTCTGCCAAAAATCGAAGTCTCCCCCCGGCAAATGCTGCGATACTGACACTGCATGATGAGACGAACGCTGGTTCCGCCCTCACTGTCCACAGTATTCTGAAAGCCTGGCATCAGTGGGATAACGATGACGGCGCGCCACGCCTCCTGATTCTTGGAGGCTCGAATGATTCGCTCCACCAACGCATCTCCAATTAAATTCTCAATCTTCCTGCCGTCTATCTCGCAGGTGCTGATGAAGAATTGATTCTCGATGTAGACAAAATGGTCCGATTCCTCTATCAGTTTGACGTAGGCATTCATAATGCTGTGCTCGGTGACATCCGGCGTACCCGTTGACCACATACTGCTTGAGCGCAAGATCTGCACCTCGCAAGTCCCATCAAGGCCGAGAGCTTCCAAGTCGGCAGGGTCAAAGTCAGGCGGAGGCAGAAGAAAAGGTGTAGGTCTGGTAGGTTTCCGCTGACGCAAGATGTAGTTCCAGCGCTGCACAAAATGCCGCGTGAGATCCCGGGCGGGCTGACCGACGACGTGCATCGAAATGTCATGCCACGGCATCCTGGGAATTACATTACGGTCATACATCTCCTCGTACGGCTTGTCCAGATCGTAAAAGTCCTGAATCCGCGGGTTCGAGTAATCCTTACCGGGCCAGAGTTGGCAGTGGTCTGCGTCCTTGGGTCCATCGGGCGTCTCAAAGCCAGTAGGCTTGTCGTCAGTGAGCAGATGTTGCGGAGTGTCCCATCTTCCGAAACAAAGGTCAATTCCGCCAACAAAAGCCACGGTGTGGTCGATCAGGCATAATTTCTCATGGTGCGCCCAGAAAAATGTGTTTTGTCTGAACTGATTCGGAGAGCGCTGTACAAAGACGTTGGGATGAAGGTCGAGAAGTGAGAATTTGGAGTATTCCGAGTCAATAGGGATAGCGGAGTTGATATTCCGATACATGATCACAAATATCTTGACCCCTTCGCGAGCTTTGCGTTGAAGAAGTCGATCCAGCCGCCATTTCTGACTGATGGCTGCTGGCCGTCGCAGGTACAGTTCAGGACTGAGCCACCAGTCATGGATATAGATGACGTCTTTGGCCTGATTGATCGCTCGCGACACCATCCACATGTGGTCGCGCGCATCGACTAGCCACTGTGCAAAACAGTTCTGGCGCACCGGGGCAAAGCTCTGAAACCTGTTCGGCTTCGCCCATGGGGTACTATTGACCATGAACCTTATAGAGTCCTCGAATTGATGGAGCTGACGCTCATTCCTGGCCAGCAGTCTGAGCTTACGCTCCGAGTTTTCCAGCCTCAGCGTGTGATGTTGTGGGTGTCTGGCCGACTCTTTAGCCGATTTGGCAAGCTCTTTCGCTTTCTGATGTCGTAAACTGATCTTTTGAGTTTGTAATTTGAAAAACGGGTCGACCAAGAACACATCGTAGATATTCATCTCCTCCGGCGAGTCAACGCAAACAAGGTAGCTGTGTCGGACAAGAAACCATTTTGGTGAATGCCGCTTCTTCACCATTGCTGGAGTTAGCGCCCTTCGAAAATCGAGGCCTTTGGAAGACTGAATAATCAGGTATCCCTCTTTACCATGATAGCTGCCTTCGGACGCAAGGCGGACACCCAGGGCAGAGAGTTCCAGGAATTTACACAAACGGTTGCTATCGGCCTTGAAAATCAAGAATCGAATCATCTTCTGTAGATAGGCTTCAAGTTTCTTCCGCTGCCTCTCGGGATATGGTTCCCTCTTCGTCGTCTGGCCAGGTTCCGCCGTACCTGAAGGCCCAGCATTGGCCTCGCCCTCAGTATTGGTAATGCTCGACTGTCTCCGGGATATACCTCCTGACAGTCGGCGCTGCCCTTGTTGCTGCTTTCTCCTACCGGACCTCTCATTGCCGCTGGTCGCTTCGGCGGCGGTCTCATAGCCGCCTTCGTCTTCCTCGTCTTCAATCTCACTTTCCAGGCCCCGGACTCCTCGAAGATATGGAAAGGCGCTTCGAGGGAAACGGGGAAGGTTCTGTCCGCCCTCGGTGTTTCGCAGCTGAATGTACTTTTGCGTTCCGAAGTGAAGCTTATATTTCAGATGCAGATTCGCAAAATCTCGAAGGGTACGGTGGATGATCCATTTCATCCGCGTCATCCCGCTGCCGTATTCTAGCTCGATTCTGAATACAAGGTGACGGTCACCGGAATGAGGTTCGAACTTGCTATCAGTGACCCGAACTTTCAACTGCTCCAGAAGGATTGGGATCCGTTTGCTGCCGTGTTCATCCCGTTGAAACATGCTAGCCAAGATCAAGGCGGCCGGCACCCCTGAAGTCAACTCGGCTAGTAGCTCGGCGGACTTTGCATGGTCTACTGTGCTCTCAGGCTTGCGACGCATAAACTTGAACCCAGCCTTTATCTGCCGCCACTTCTGAGCGCTCAGACTCGAGCCGCGTTCAGCTCTATGGCGCCTCCAATGTGGGGCATTTCCTTCTGTTTGTTCAGATGGTCCAACCAGCCCAGTAAAACGCTTGAAATTGCTCGGTCGTCTCTCCTCCTGATTCCCATGGCTATCCGCCTGTCGACCGCCATATGTAAGTGCACGAGCGTTGGCTATTCTCCGTCTCCAAGCATCTCTATTCAGGCGATCTCGACCCTCGTCCTCTGATACACCCTCCCGCTGCTGCGCGAAGTCGCCGGTGCTCACTCTGCGCGCAAAGAGGTTGGCGCGGTAGTTCTCAAATGGACCAAACGAAGCTGGGAGGTGGAATGACGGTCTCCTTATCGTCTTCGGTGTGTTTGGTTCAGTCTGAGGTGCTGACTGAGGCTCTTGCTGCCGTCGTGAAATTTTCTTCTTCTTCCTGCGCTGACTGACATGTTGCTCTCCGGCGCTTTCCTCGGCATCAGCATCGATATCACTTCCCTCCTCTTCCAAAGTATCGGGGAAACGAAAGGCCCCTCGTTCCGAACCCGGCGTTGCTAGATCGGCGTTGGTCTGTCTCATATCACCAATGGTTGCCCCACTAGCCGAACGAGAATGAGAGGTAAATGAGGGCGAAGCGAAAGATTTGAGCTTGGTGAAGATCGATTGTTTCCCCTTCAGTCCAGAGTCCGGCTCATCACCCAGGACAGATGGGGGTCTTGACCCAGATACTTCCGGGGCGGGATCGATATCAGAAGTCTCGCGGGTGAACTGGACGCTGGGACGACGCGGCGAAACAGCCGCTCCGGGAGTTGAGGACTCATGCTGTGTATGGTCTGGCGACTGTCGAGGGCTGTCGGGTGATTCATTTGACCGCTGAAGACTTGGCAAAAATGGTTGTTCCCCCTGGCCATTATTCCACGCCTCCTCCAATCCACTGGCTTTCTCTGATCGAGTCTTTCCATCTCCTCCATTGGCCTGTTTAACATTCTCCTTTATAGATTGCGCATCATCTGCAACATCTCGCTCATTCGTAGCATCAGCTTTGCCGTCCCTAAAATCAGAGGCGGGATGTCTGTTTTCCGCCTGGGAGGGAAACGGTGAACCCAGCTTGAAACCACTAGCCACTGTCAGAGGATCTGGTCCCTTGGGATCGGGACGATTCGAAATATTTTCCGTGTCCCTCAACGCTGAGGTAGGAACCGCCGAGTCGGTCATTATAGCTACAAGGAACGACTGGTGTCAGCGTGGACATCAAATCACTTGTAAAAACAAGATCGAACGTACGTGCGGATCAATAGATCCTAGCAAAACCGACCGAAATAGTTCACCACACAGTCATTCTGTCAAGATTTGGAGAGCTTTTGGGGCTAGGAAATTGAGGGACTGAGTTTATTTCAGCAAATTCAATCCTGAAACCGTCAACGTACTTAAAGGGGAGTGTTGCAACTTGCATTAGCGTTTCGAGTAGCTATTCCAACAACCGCTGGTGGAGCCGCCCCCCATAGAACATTGACGGAAGGCCCGCTTTGGCGTGATTGTTCAATGAGAGCTCGAAATTTAGCCCAGATAGGGGGGAAAGGCAGCAGCTCGAAGTTTGGTTGCAAGGGGTACAGTCGATCCTTGGATAAAATAATGTAAGGTATGGTGACTGGAAAGGGAAATACTTCTGATCTTTAATAAGACCCACGGATTTCGCCGTTAACTTCTTCTTGAATAATAATGCCTTGATTATCATCAATACTACGGCACAGAGGAAGGAAAATGGTACCTGAGGCGCGTTTCGTTTGAAGCCTGAGGCATAAACGTACTAAGACGTGTGGCTGTGCAATTCGTCCTATTTCTATGTATTGTAATGGAAAGTTACGATTGTCTTGTAAACAATATACAATACCTGGTATTCTATGGGCACCGTTACCTAGAGTAGGTATATATCCTCGGCTTTGAATGTGGAGTCAAAGGTGGGATGTTGATAAGTGTCTCTGATCTGATGTAGGTTTGACAGCACGCAAAAATTTTGTTTTTTGTACATACTGCATTTATCAACAGATATTTCAGATACATAACAAGCAAAATGACGGATCCGTTGAAGACATTGGATACCGCATCTCCCTCAAAATCCTCCAATCCACCTTCCGTTTCTCAGAAGAAATACCCTATTGCTGGAATTCTTACCACGGTCTTCGGCCTCGATGAAATACCCTCTCAGGCTTCTGAGATTGCTTGTCTTTGGCTCTTGCACCCAAGATTGGCGACTCAGGAGCGAATGACGGGTCTCGCAACGTCTGTCATTGCGGATTGGAATCACAGGATTAAAGATGGTCGTGCCGGTCCGATCAAGGGTCTGATTGCTGTCTCATTCGATCAAAGAAACCATGGCACAAGATTGGTCGATCCTCTCGCCAATGAGGCATGGAGAGAAGGGAACCCTCGACACGCGCAGGATATGTTTTCCATTTTCCGTGAGTACCGGATCAGCAAATTCTAGAAGTTCCTACCTCCGGGACTATATGCATACTACCGAATTATGCCCCGAGAACTAATGCGTCTCGCACAACAGAGGGAACCGCGCGCGACGTATCACTACTGATGGACTATCTTCCAGCCTATGTGTTTCCCCAAGGCGAACGCAGGATCTTCAAACATATGGTGCTGGGAGTATCCCTGGGGGGCCATGCAGCGTGGAGCTGTCTCCTCCATGAACCCCGCGTGAGCGCCGGCGTGGTCATCATCGGCTGTCCCGACTATGTAAATCTTATGGCAGATCGTGCGCGATTGTCGAAACTGCCATCCTGGACAAACAGTGATCCCCCGGGGTCTCGGATTCTAGGCTCTGAAGCATTTCCCTCCTCTCTCCTGGAGACTATCTCTAAACTTGACCCAGCGGGCCTATTTCTGAGTTATGTCAATCCTATTTCGGACGCTGGGCCCCTTCGAAACAGTCCTCTGCCTGAACCGACTGAAAATGAAAAACAAGCTCTGCGGCCAGTGCTTATGCGCTGTCTGGCTGGCAAGAAGATTCTCAACCTATCCGGGGGCGTGGATAAACTGGTTCCCTATCACCGTGGGGAAGTTTTCCTGACTTGGTTGAAGAAGGCTATTGCTCCAGATGGTTGGTTTGCAGATGGTGCTGTTACATTCGAAGACATTATTGATGAAAAGGCTGGACACGAGGTCACTCCGAAGATGATGGATGAAGCAGTTCGCTTCATAACTGAGACGCTTGTCTCCAGTGATGACGCCAAACGGAGTTGTGGGTATGTTCGCGAATCCAAAATATAAACCATTAGAGCAATCAACTACGATCATTTCTGCATTCCCCAGATGGCGTCAAAACTGTACGGTAAGGGAAAAAGAGGCGAGCCAGAAGATGGTAAGCTACGAGGTGCGCTATGAAACCCTGCTCTCGAGGCAAACGTTGTCGAGGAAATGATTGATCGATCAAAATATAAAGCCGACACTGCCTTGTCAGAGCATTGATCATAGCGCTTTTTAAAAAAAACCCGCAGCAGACAGAGTGAAGCAAAAAGAAAATGTTGAACAGTGTGAAATCCTCTCAGATGGTATTTTGTTTGATAGGGTGAGATCGTAAGGGCGTCTGAAGGCCAGGCTATGCTGCTCATCGCAAACAAAACCCATTATTTTGTAAATACACGAATCAAATGTGCCCGATTCGCGGCTCCCATTTTTCGAGTTCTTATTCCCTTTTATCTCGGAGAACAGAATTTGAACCCTCTATCACAAGCCGGACCGCAGTGCGGCACCTAACCCAGTTTCTGCACCCTGCTCGTTTCGCAATCATGACTCCGCATTTAGGCAACCAACTCAACAACACCACCAGCCTCCTTGATCTTCTGCTCAGCGTCCCGGCTGAAGTATCTGGCGCGGACAACGATGGGGATCTCGGGGATACGGCCCTTGCCCAGAACCTTGGAGTAGCCAAGGGAGAGGAGGTCGATAACGGGGGCGGTGTCGGTCTTCTGGCCGCTAAGGTAGGCGTCGCGAGTCTCGGTAGGGACGAGGGACCACAGCTGTAAAATTGAGGGCATCCCAATCAGTCACTTTTGTTCGTAACCACAACAAATTCTCCTCCCCAACCCTAGAATATCTCCGCTACTCCTCCACATTGCCCAATGCAGCTTTCTTCTGCTCTCGCGGCGATTCCCGTTGGTTCGGACTAGGTTTGACTCTAAACGCATTCATTCAACGTACCTTGTCGAGGTTGATGGTGGGCTTCCAGAACTGCTGGTTGGTCTTGTGGAAGTATCTCATACCAACCTTACCGAAGTAACCAGGGTGGAACTTGTCAAGGTTGGTACGGTGGTGGTGCTGACCACCGGCCATACCACGACCACCTGGGTGCTTACGGTGCTTGCCAACGCGACCGTAACCGGCCGACACATGACCGCGACTGGAGAAGAAGAGTTCAAGTTAGTCTCTCTCGATATATATAATATGCCGAACGATTGTTTCCTGGTCGCGAATGGATGCATTGACTCGTCGCAAATGCCACGACAGAGAGGGATGCTCGACAATTGCAGGTGTATGACGGGGTGAAATTCTCGACTCACGCTTTTCTTGTCTTCGAAAAACGGGTAGGCATCTTGTCGACGGTGCTGTGCTCGACAAGACCGGTCTGAGGTTTGGCGATGGGGGGATGCGGTCGTATATGCTGCTGGTTCAGATGTTTAATTCAAGGCTCGGAGCCGGCTAGAGTGTGCGCTAGGCTGTTCGCTTGCCCTAAGTAGGGTCCAGCCCTTTCAATCCTTGGCAGTCAACTTCCTCGTCAGGTCACGTGTGCGGAGATGAAAGGTACTACACCTACCATTTTTTTACGACGGATACAAATACCACTACAGCCTATGCTTGATGACGCTTTATGACAAGGTATGTAGGCAGTGATGCCAGGCCAGTCAGTCTGTAATTGTGGATGCCACAAAAAAAAAAAAAGTCTCAATTATTCGAGCTCCGACCAGAGAAAAAGTTGGTCAGATCCTCTGCGAGTGCTGAAGCTGGCCGTCGTACAGAGCGGCGCACCATGCTCTGCTTAATCCAGGCTGGTAATTTTCCCTGTATATTCGCTTTTTCATATCGCCTGTCGATCATCACAATGGCAGCATAATCATTGCGGTGCCTGATTGCTCGCCCAATGCATTGATTGACCGCTCGCATACAGGCGTTCTCGTAGAAATCCTTCCCTGCTGCTTTTGCAATTGACTGCCTGTCCTTCTCAGATCCAGAGCTCGAGATATAAGTTTTCTGCTCGACATACTGGATCTTGGCCTGCCAAACTGCACTGCGTATGTTTGGAAACGGCAAACCGATGATCAACACGCCTCTTCCCAGTTTATCGGAGAAGTTTATGCCCTCGGACAGTTTCCCTCCCACGACGGAAAGAAGCAGAGCTCCTTGACCAGCGTCAATAGTTCTTGTATATTCTTGTAGCAAATCTTCCGTTTTTGCCCCCATGTCCCGACCTTCGTATAGGACAGACTTTTTTCGTTCAATGAGACCTAGAATAGTCTGGCCCTTCTCGCCAACAAGAGGCTTCCTCCATATAGCCAATATTCGGCTGAGATAATCGTAACTGGGAAAGAATGCGATGACGCCATCTGGGATAGCCTGGCACAACGTAGCCACAGTCCGCCCGAGATCAAGAATCTAAGAAAAAAAGCACAGCAAACCGTTAGAAAGGTCTAGAGCCCATGAAGCTACGGCTCTGAATAGTGGTCGCTTACCATCTTCTCAGAATCGCGAGAGTCGTAAGTAAAATCGAATTCGGAACCTAGAACGCCGTTGACAAGCGTGTGTGCAATAAGGTTCTCTGGGGGGATAACGTGGCCATAGCTGAAAGTATCTAGCCGGCTTGGGGCAATGTAGGAAAATAGGTGATTTCGATAATCACTCATCTATGGTATCGATCAGCCGCATTAAGGAGATGAGAACATCACAGGAGGGTACTTGTTATACATACGGGAGACATGGTTCCGCCAGCCAAGATCACTGCTCGGGCATCTTCGACAATCTCCCGGAAATGGTTCGTCGGGTCCAATAACATATACTTCAACTGAATATCATTGTGGCACTTTAGATAGAAAAATCGGCCTTCGGCGGAGGGATTCATCAATGCTAAAAGAAAGCTCTGAACATGGAAAAGGACAGGTGACGAAGGTTTGCCGTCCGGTTGTTGGTTCGCTTTGTCTTTCGAAGATTCGACATAGCCGTCGACTTTTCTGGCTAGTTTGCTTTCCTGTAAATACCGAGATAGCTTGTATGGATTGATTTGATCGACGCCTTTCCCAGCCATCAAATCTGCCGGATCCACGGCGCCTTCTGCAGGCAGTTTTTTCCCTATGATTGACCGAAGATGGTCTGCAACCGAACTGATAAGTCTGATGATTTGAGCGATGTAGCTTCGGTTCTTCCCCTTCAAGCGCGCCTTGTACTTGCGTGCATATGTTGTTAATTGGAAAAGTGCAGTCTGTAACTGCGATAGCCCAATTGTTACTGAATGTATATTGCATATTGCATCCATGAGATTGTGGGCCTCATCAATGATGACGACGTGATTCTTGATCGAGAGATCGAGGGCATCTCGAGCTGAGCGCTGGAGTAGTAAGGGATAAGGAAGGGTCACAATCTTGTGCGCATTCAGCAGTGCATTCTATGATGATTAGAAGACCGATTCAAAACGTACCTCGCTGTGTTTGAGTACTGAGCGGGATGCGTAGTAAGGACAGACTCCCATCCGCTTACCAAGCTTTCCCATGTCTTCGATGTCCTTAATGGTCGCCAAAGTGTGATCCCGAAATTGTAGAACCTGCCCTTCATCCTCCTTTGACGGCAAGTAAGGACATCTTTTCTCGGCAGCTACTCCAGGCTGCTGCAGTTCCAAGCAGCGCTCATTGATTGCAGTGGCGTTTCCTAGGGACACCACCTTGGGATTTATGCATAAATTCTTTCGCGAACCAAGAGTAAGATGTTTCAAGCGTTCTTCGACCTCATCGGTGTCTGCGTCGCTCTTGGTGAGCTCCGCTGGCATGCTGGACGGCATTTTGACGCGCCGCAACTCGCTTGAGAATTGAGACAGTTGGGAATGAGTTCTCGAGCAATAGAAGATCTTAACATCATCGTCTCCATGTCCAGTGTCATCGTCAGCAGGAGCCGAGAACTGCTCCTTGAAGCGCTCCAATAGTTCAAGTGTACTATTTGAGAGCCCACTGATATCGCCGAGTTTCTTGGAAGATGTCATCCTTTCTTCGGCATCGCTGTCATAATCATCCAGGATCCATTCATCATCTTGCTCTGGACCTGAGTCACCAGACAATGTACTCAATCTCTAAAGTGTGGTCAGTGCAAAGCAGCTTGTGATCCAGTACCGGCAGACATACCTGCCTCTTCCGAGGCTCTCCTGGATGCTCAGTAGCATGCCTCTGCTTCTCCTCTTCAACTCTGATCTTTTCTAGACGAGCCTCCAGCGCTCTTCTGTTCTCAGTTACTGCACGAGCGGACTCGCGCTTGGCAAACTCTAACATCCATTCGGGCTCGCCGTCATCATCGCCTGCAAAACCTCATCAGCGGCAAACCCTTGGTGTTCACACCTTCCCATACTGACAAGAAGCTTCATTGACGGTATCTTGAAGTGCCTTGCGCTTGTGTTCTCTTAGCCAGGTCATAGAGCCGCATATCAAGCTCAGAGATTTTCCCTATGGTAGAGTTGTGTTAGTGACCAGGCGTTCTACAGAATAGCAAATAAGAACTCAGTCTCTGCTCTTGGTCTGATGGTGACCTTTACGTACCGTGCCTGTGCGACGTCATTAGTTGGCGTGATCAAGTGACAGGTGAAGCTCAACTTACCAGTCGGAGACTCGAACACTGCGACTTTTCCTTCTTCCAGGCAAGTGTAGAGAGCGCGCATGAACTGGAGTTGTATGTCATATGGGGAGTAAGGATGGTTGAAATTTTGTGGTTGAGACCCCATAGTGCTGAAGGTACCTCCAGTTACACGATTCACCAGCTTGGCTTTAGTACACTAATTCACGAGGGCATTGACGCCGTCAGGCTCTGCACCACATGTTTCAATGATGGACCCCAGTTTCAGCAGATGTTTGACGGGGACTCGAAACAAAGAAGCAATAGGTAACCGCTAATGTAGGTTGTTGGTAACTACAACGTTCCTTTATTGGACACAAAGCAATAAGGTATCTTGGCTGGCATAGTACCTTAGAACCTTGACAGACCGAAAGGGACTTGTAATAATTCCATTGACCAATCAGGTTCTCGGTAGGCCTGTTTGGCTTCTTACCTTATTTGGGCAAGCAACTTTCTGTGAGCAGTGTACAATTCTAGGAACAAAGCTGTAAGAATAGTGGTAATAAACTCTGGAAGTTGCTGTAGGAAACTTGATATTATCAATGAACGAGCGTCTAATACTAGCCGAAAAGATGAGCCGAACTGAGGCAGTTCAAAATAAATCTGTTCTCGTGCAGTCCTACTGCAGCCGAATAAACTAGGTAATTATTATTATTGACTGAAACTGAAGTACCTAGAAGGCAACTTTAATTGCCAATAGACGGTAGCTCCAATATATAAGGAGGCTCAATCAAAGTAGATCCGAGACCATTCACTTTGAACCGTTTATGATCAACATGAACTCAATAGAATTACATGCAGCCTGCTATCATTTGATGCAACCCAGGGAGCAAGATGACATGACTTATAAGTTACCTGAGTCGTGTTATAGGTACCTATAGAGTACGGAGACAGGTATCACCTTATCCAGGTCAAAGCCACACTGCTTCTCAAATAACAGTGGATACTCTCAAGTCTTTCACCTTGTCTAATAACTGCTCCCCTATCTAGTTTAATAGTAATAATAACCCAAGAGCTCATTTGTTCAATCTGAATCCAAAATCTGCCCTTAAGGCGATTGTATCTGAATACCTCGATTGGATCAGACATACCTTGAAAGAAGGAATGTTGGAGGGTAATCAGATTGAAGAAGGGAAATCCCCTTCTCTTTGACAACAACACGATACTTCTCTGTATTCTTAGGCGGAATGATAGAATTGTTTGGGGACTGTCATGGCTGTCACCAAAGCATCCTGTAAGACACTTCTATCTCTCTTTATCACCTTCAAGACCTTTCTTTGACCGCAGCTCCTACCTACTCTTAACAACTGTCCGCCTTGTTAGTCGTCTATAGGAGTAACTATCTACTCTGAAGTATTTGTAGCAGCCTAGTTGCAGTACCTACTTTAGCACTTAATAGTGGCTTGGTACGGTATTTACTTTCATAGGCAGCTACCTGACCTAGTCAAATTCCGCATCCACTCCCACGGACCCCGCTTCTCGTAACTGGCCTTTGGGGTCTATCTACAGATTACTCCAGTTTCATCCCGGGGGCGTCTCTTCTTCTTTCGCGCTCAATATCATCCCTACTATGGTACTATCGTTTCCCTGCTTCTAGTTATTCCTCGCCACTCATTATTAGAAGGCCTGCCGTGGTCTTATGGTATGAGATTTCGTTTCGCGGCTTTTCGGATAATGCGCTTGATCTCTACTCTCTACCCTGCGCGTTCCGTTAAGTCAGACTGATCTCCC